TTAATCTGTTTCATGTCAATTTAATTCTTAGACCAGCCAGAGAAAACAAACAAACAAACAAAGAACAGAGAAAATTTTTCCTCCTCAATCGTACAAGTCCCAACCTTGGTGCCCAATGCGTAGTGTGTATCAGCTCAGAGCCCGACGCGGGGCTCGAACTCATGGACCGCGAGATCGTGACCTGAGCTGAAGTCGGACGCTTAACCGACTGAGCCACCCAGGCGCCCCTCAAAGACAAACATTTAAAAAAATTAAAAAAAAATGCATCCAGAATGTAACAATTTCTCACCACCTCCACTGCTCTGTCCTCCATCCAAGGCACTACCACAATAGCCTTCTCCTAGGTCTCCCTCCTTCCCCCCTGTCTCCAGACACTGTATCCTGGACAGAGAGCAGCCAATGAGATTCTGTAATGAGGTATGACGAGAACATTCCTCTCTGCTCAAGGCCCTCGAGCGGCTCCCGATTTCAACCCCAGTAAAAGGTGAAGGAGCAGAGTTTCCCGTGCCTCTTTGGCAAAAGGATGATTTTAACGTAATTATTTTTATTATTTATTTATTTATTTATTTTACATTTTATTTATTTTTGAGAGAGAGAGACAGACAGAGCACAAGTTGGGGAGAGGCAGAGAGAGAGGGAGACACAGAATCCGAAGCAGGCTCCAGGCCCTGAGCTGTCAGCACAGAGCCCGACGCAGGGCTCGAACTCACAAACCGTGAGATCACGACCCGAGCCAAAGTCGGACGCTTAGCCCACGGAGCCACCCAGGCGCCCCTAATGTAATTATTTTTTTAAAAACTTCACAGGAGAAGCTCTAAAAACTCAAGTAGAAGTGGCCTTTTTGTAGGACACGTTAACATTTTGAAGGGAACCGGCAAACTGAGATTTGAGACAAGGCCACCAGTATTCATTAAGTACTTGCTATGCACCGGATACCGACTCAGTCTGTCAGCCAGTCATTGAGATGGCATCTGGAGGGACAAATTAGAGTAAAGAGAACCTATAACTCTATTTACTGATAATCCAAAGGAGGAAGTCGAAAGAAAGAAAGAAGCCAAGGGAAAAATCTAGAGGATCCACGAGGGGGAGGGATGGGTTTCAGAGATTCCCTTTGGGCAGCGTGAGACCTGCTTCTAGGACTGTCGTTGGCCAGATTCTCACACTCGCCAGGCCCACCTCCCCTCTCCAGGATTACATCAGCAATCCTCTGCTTCCGGCTCCTCCCTCCCCCAATATAGTCTCCAGACTGCAGCCACAGTGATCTCTTTAATATGAAATCTGATTACCTTGCTCCACCTCTTAAAAAAGGCATCCCTCTTCATGGCCACCTGGATCTCGTCAGTAGGCCCTGCGCTCCCCGTGTCCAGCTTCTTCTTTTGTCCTCTCAGTCCTGGCTTGCACTACAGCCATACTGATGCCCTCCTGCCATTCCCTCAACGAGCGCCCCCCCCCCCCCCCCCCCCCCCCCCCCGCCACCCCGCTCTGGCTTCTTGTCCTCGGAAGTCCTGTTCCACCACCTCCACACTCCCTGGGCACTAATTGCAAAGACCAGACCGATCTGGTTCACAGAGATGCACATTTCCCTCTTGAGACCGAGGGGGACAGGGACATTTATTGTAGAGTTGGTCTTGTTCTGCCCTGGGCTGGGGGAGGCCTGGCTGAGAATCAGAGCCTCGGGGAAGGCGCTGTCGTGCTCGGTCTGGATTTGAGACAGAGAAAAGACAGTGCCTGCCAATCCAGGGGGGAGGGATTTCTCCTGGTTCCTCCTGGGGGTGCAGACTGCTTGCTGAGCCGGGCGTTTAAGTGGTTTTTGCCAACCTGGCCAATTCCCAACTATCACCACAGCAAGTAATTTACGTAACTCATTCTGAAGGCAAACGGACAGAACTTTTGCTTTATTTGTCATCATTTGGCTAGGAAATAAAAGAACACATATTCTAACCCTACTGACTACTATTCCCTCCAGTCATGTCAGTAATTCAGAACTGGTTCCAAAGCTCCTTGGGGCTTTCACCCGTGACCTGAACATCATTGACTACCACCTGCCTGGCATATACCATCATGCACCTGTAAGCAGAGTAATTGTAACTGGGAAGAAGTCAAGTCACAATTGTCAACAGACCCTACCCCCACCAAGATGAACTAGTGACATTTCAGCCTATACGGTTATTTCTCTCCATATACAGTATGTATTTTGTAGTTAATACTGTGTGATCTTGGGCCTTCTTTTCCCATTGTTCTCTTCTTTGGTGGTCTCATTCATTCGGATGGCTTGCATTATCATTTGTAAAGCGACAATTTAGCCCTGATCTTTACTCTGGACGTCAGCTTTCTCCACCCCCCCTTCCCACCGCCCCGCCCAGCCCAAACTTGCTCGTCTGCAACCATTTTGGTAAGTGGCCACCCCCATTTATGCCAGATACCTAGTCATCTGTAGTGACTTCAGTCACCTCAATTCCACCCCCTTTCCATCTGATTCTTTTTTTTTTTTCAACGTTTATTTATTTTTGAGACAGAGAG